TAAAATTTTAATGGTGTAGATTAATTTTAAAAACAATAACACTAAAGGCTACTGTCGGATAGCTTTTTCAAATTGCTAACGCTAATCTCTAACGCTGATACCAAACGGAGCCCAATATTAGTAGCATAATTTTACTGTTCTTAATTTTCGTGTCGATCTCTCTTTATCTAAAAATAGTTGACGAGGGGAGCATTTAAGTTTTAGTTAAATTTCAATCCAATTTTGTGAAAGCTTAGTTCAATAAATTTCAATCAAAACGTACCCACTTCAAATAAAACTCCTTTTTGCGGGGAGTGAAAAAAGATAAAGCAAGAAGAACATTATTTTATAGTTACATTTTTTTGATATTAAAATATGACCTAAATAGGTATACATGTTAAATTATACTTTCTCTGAGAAAAAAAAAAATTATACAATTTGAAATGAAATCACGAATTCAAACTAAACTTACATTTAAATAAGAATTGAATTGAATTATAAATCTAACACCAAACCTACATGTAAAAAAGAATTGAGTTGTACAAAAATCTACACTAAACCGAAAACCATCACTAAGTTGTGGGTAGAGGTGGCAATCGGATCAATCGGATCGGTTCCGGGTTGAACTTTTTCGGTTCGGATATCTTTCGGTTATATGTTATAATCGATTCGGTTCGGCTCGGTTCGGATCGGTTAAATTTCGGTTCGGATTTGATTTCGGTTCTATACATTTTTCGGTTCGGTTCGGTTTCGAGTCGGTTCAGATACGGTTCGGTTATAAATCGGTTCGGATAGATTTTGATTTGGATACAATTTGAGTCGGATATATTTCGGTTTCGGGTCTAGTTCGGTTCAAATATATTTCGGTTTCGGATATATTCGATCGAGTGGACTACAAATTATGAAAAAATATATTTTATGATGATATAAATTTAATATCATAATATTAATTTTAAAATTTAGTTTTGATATATTAAAATTTTATCACTTCAAATAATATTATGAGTAATTTACCTAAATAGGGCTAAAACACAATGAGTTTCCCAATATAGGACCATATGTTTTTATTTCCTAATGTAAGACTTTTGGTCATTATTAATTAGTCATTATTCAAGTAAATGTCCATTATTAATTTATTACTGGGCATTATTCCTCCCACTAAGACATTATTAAGTTCTCTCTAAGGAATAAAAAAGTTTAATTCCTAGATTAAGAAAAAATTATGTTTTAGTATTATTTAGTGCAGATTTATTAATATCATTAGTTTTATCTTTATAAATAAAAAGATAAAAGATAAATTCAAATCGTATTAGGATTCTGTTACCACATTTTTGGGGAAGATGAGTCGAAGCAACTAGTTTTTATCTCGTGCTTTGCACTGACTCGCATACTTTTTTTTATAAGTATAGCTATTTAAAAATGTTACTCCGTATTATATTAAAAAATAAAACTCACATTAAATAAATAAGAGAAATTTGGATATGATAACTTATTGTAGCCAGACTATTACTCCCTCCGTTCCTAAATAAACTTCCATTTTTGACTTTTTGAAAATTTAATGGAGGAATATTTTTTGTGTTGACTTTAAAAAAATACCCTTGATTGATGTGTAAATGCAAGATTCTCATCTCTATTTTATTACTGGTTTGCTTTATTTTATCGCATGTATGCTTAGATTTGGAAAAAGTAATTTTCATATGTTTTATGTCATCTCTATTTTATTGCTCATTTGCTCTATTTTTTTTGTAATATTTCTAAAACATGTAATCCATTTTATGAGGGAATGAGCAAGTAATATAATTAGTTTAAATGGTAAAATAAAAGTAAAATTTTAAAAGCATAATATGCTTATTGAAAGGAAAACATACTTCCAAAATTATCGATGTAGGTTCTAATCGGTTTCGGATATAATCGGTTTTGGATCTAATCGGTTTCGGGTTTTATCGGTTTCGGATATTATCGGTTTCGGATCTAATCAGTTTCGGGTTTAATCGGTTCGGATATTATCGGTTTTGGATTTAAATCGGATATGAATTATTTAGTTCGGTTTAGTTCGATTCGGATCATTTCTGGTTTTCGGGTATATATCGGATCTTCATTTTTCGGGTCATTTCGGTTTCGGTTTCGGATATTTCGGTTCGGGTAATCAGTTCCGGTTCTGTTTTGCCAGCTCTAGTTGTGGGTAATGGGCAAGAATCTAGAAATAAAAATGAAATGCATTCAACCTGCAAGTAAGAAATGATGTTTGAATGCAACACAAATAGCTAATACTCCTTCCGTCCACCAGTTTTTGTCTACTTTTGACTTTTGGAACTGTTCATCTAAGCACTTTGACTCATCAAATTGTCTCAATGTGTAAGCCTAAATATAGTCATGTGTGATCTTGTTTGATTTGTCTTAACATATACTCCCTCCGTCCCATGAAACATGTATTTCCAACTAGAAACACTCATCCCATGAAACATGTATTTCCAACTAGAAACACTCATCCCATGAAACAGTTCACCTTTTGGATAAAAAAAGTGTATGGAGGTAATCTAATCATCAAATTGGACATGGCAAAAGCTTTTGATAAACTTGACTTGGAATACTTAGAGGCCCTACTTTTTTTTTTACTCCCAGTGGGTAAACCACCAAGCTTGGTGGGGTAAGGTCTAGGCAACCCTTACCGAGTTTTATTAAGATCTATTCGTCACCACAGAGTGAGGGGAGGATCAAACCAAGGCCTAACGTCAACCCCTCATACTTAGAGGCCCAACTTTTGAGATTTGGATTCCACAGTCTATCAACTTCCATCTTAATGGCCAACTTAAAAAGGACTTTCTTCAGTATACTCATCAATGGAGAGCCATCAGGATTTTTCAAAATGGAGAGGGGGTAAAACAAGGAGATCCACTCTCACCCCTTCTTTTCATCCTATCAGCAGAAGGTTTCAGTAGGCTCATCAATATGCAGATGGACACTAACCACCTACTCAGATTCAACTCAGGCCAGGTCCTATTTCCTTCCCACCTTATATATGCTGATGACATTATAATCTTTTCCAGGGGAGACAATAGAAATCTGCTCAAACTCAAGGTCACTCTAGATATATACCTCAAGGCTACTGGGCAAGAGATCAACCTTAACAAGAGCAGATTCTACACATCAAAGCACACAACCAGCTCCCAAAATCAACACATGGAGAAGGCTCTAGGAATCAAAAGAGGGAACCTACCTTTTACCTATCTGGGAGCTCCTATCTGTAAAGGGATTCTGAGAAAAGAGCACTGCAAAGATATCTTGGGACATTTTGAAAAACTTATTCACTCCTGGTACAGCAAGACTCTCAACCAGATGGGTAGACTTATACTAATAAAACATGTTCTTTCTTCAATCCCATTACATATCCTTGCAGTCCACACCATTCCCAAATCAATCATCCACACCCTCAACAGATACATGGCCAACTTTTTGTGGGGACAAAAGGAAGGATCCCATAAACACCACTAGGTTAGATGGGCACAAATAACAAAACCTGAGGTAGAGGGAGGGCTGGGGATCAAAAGGTTAAAGGACCTACAACAAGCATACACCCTTAAACTTTGGTGGAAGGCAAGAAATGACATTGGGATATGGGGGCCCTATGTGAGAGCCAGGTATATGAAAACAGGAATCATGAAGGAAAGGATCACTGACTCTCCAACATGGAAAAGGATTTGCAGATGTAATGATCTGGCAACATCCCATACCACCACCACTAGTTCAGGCTTGCTTTGGGAAGGAGGAAACTTCAGCCTCAAGAGTGCTTTCAACATGGTCCATGGAAGTGGGACAAACCTATTATCCTGTAAATACATTTGGCACAGCTCAAACATCCCAAAAATCAAGATCTTCTTGTGGAGACTCTTAAACAGTGCCCTTCCTTTCCCTAAAAACCTATACCGTTTCACGGCAGCCCTTCCCAGTTCCTGTCCTCTTTGCCATAAAGATAACGATGACATTGATCACTCCATGCTCCACTGTCCAACTGCAAAAGAGGTATCAAAATGCAATTAACAACTGCAGAAAGAAAAGGAACTAACTGAATGGAATAGATCTTGAGAAAATTAGCGCCTGAAGTAAGCTAATCGGCGACTACCGTCGCAGTGAAGTCCAGGCGATCCGGTTAAATCCGGGCGGCCACTACACCCGAGTTTGTAGATATCCGTAGAACGGCAAATGATCGGATAAGACTCATACAATGACTGGCAAAGCCGCAAAGGGGTAAGAGAGCATTTACTATGGGCACCCTCGCCCAGCCTCTTTCTTTTTTTGAGCCTGCTCAAAATACCTGCCCTGTTGTGAACTGAGTACTTTATTCATCATATGTCGGGGTATTTATACATACACAAGGAGGAGGTAAAGTCTAGGTAAACAAGGTAACCAGATATTCTAAATAATAAGAGTAATATATCTGCCATATTTAACACTCCCCTCAGATATATCATCGTTCATTATACACTAACAACATTATGCTACGGGATAATGTTGGCTAGGTTCTTCAGGACCTATATTAACTGATACTACAGGATCAGTTATGCTGCCTCATTAAAAACCTTACTAAGAAAACCCAGTGGGACAAAACTTAGTTAAGGGAAAAAGAGTACAGCGTATAATATTTTCCCACAAAATAAAATTATACTCCCCCTCAAACTAATTTATCCTTTTAGCCTGCGAAGTCCAATCTTCTTTATGAGTTGCTCAAAGCTGTGTCTAGGCAGAGATTTGGTGAATAAGTCCGCCAACTTTTTGCTTGATTTAACTTGAAGAACATTGACCTCTCCTTCTTTTGCATATCAGATGTTGAGAAAACTTTGCAGAGATTTGCTTCGTTCTGTCTCCCTTGATGTAGCCTTCCTTGATTTGAGCTATGCATGTTGCGTTATCTTTATATATAATCGTAGCATTCTTCTTGATTTCTTTCAAATTACATGCTCCTTGTATGAGATTCATCAGCAATCTCTATCATGCTCGCTCTCGATCACTGTCGTATAATGCTATCAGTTCGGCTTGATCCCATGCTGTAGTTCGTGCTTGCTCAGTCGACTTCAAGAAAAAGTCGTATCACCATAGGTGAACACATTACTTGTCTAATTTCACACTTAAATTTGGTACTTCAGGACCAAGTACTTCTTCGCCTTCTTCTGGGAGGCGATTAGAATGTTATGTATATATATGAATGAACAACCATGGGTATGTTCAAAAGATGAGCTTTATCCATATTTCAACATGTTAACATCTTCTGGAGGTAGTTTAACTTATGGACAAATGTCCCATCATATAGGTGTTTAAAATACAATCGTAAGTATAATTTATGTCATGTCAAGATCTTCCATCTCAAATTCTCTCTTCAAGAGTTCAACAGTTTTTTTTCTATCTCTTCAGGAGATCTAATGATATTTATACGTCGACGTAAATTGCTATAATAAAGAATATTGAGAGCGATCCTTGAATGACAACACATAGCTTGATTTCAAATTTGTATCTTTCTTTTTCGAGATATTCACTGGGTCAATTGTACCACATATGACCAGATTACTTAAGACCATTCCACGATCTCTTCACACATATCTCAATGTATTAATTTTATTGCTTCTGGCATTTTGAATCCTTCTGGGACTATTATCACACAGATGTCGATTTCAAGTGTCCCTTATAATTATGTTAACGACATCCATATCATTTATTTGAAGTCCTTTTGAGATTGCGGGGCCAATTAAAATTCTAAAAGGATATTGCATCCACTACTGGAGAATACATTTCCTCATAATCAACTCCTAGGATTTGGGAAAAACCCTTGCCTTACAAGTAGTACTACATATCGCACAATCTCATTCATTTTATTTCTGTTTATTACAGACACCCATTTATAACCTATTGGTTTGAGGTCTATGGGTGTTCAAACTTCAGGTCCGAAAATATTTCATTTATCGAGTGACTTATATTTGACCTTCAGGGTCTTTTGCCATTTGGCAAATCATTTATGTACTATTTACATGTACTCTTATTTGAGTTTTAGGCATGTAATCTCTTTTATTGATTACATCCATTGTCATAGCATATGCAAGAATATCATTAACACGTGTTTCATTTTGGTTCCATATTGTACAGTCTCATACATAATTAATAGAGATCTCATTTTCTTTCGGTACCGATGTTTCTTTAGGAAACTTATTCTTCTGGAATCATAGTAGTCTCTTCCAAGACATTTACCTCTTCTGGGGTTTCATTTTCTTCTGGAATAGTATTATGCTCTTCTGGGACAATGTCCTCTTCTGGGGTTGCAATTCTAATCATGTATGTGGTTTCACTAATAACATTTTTCTGCTATTTTCATTTTCGTGGGTCCTTATCCTTGGAACCGATAAGTCTCCCACTTTCATTGTACAATAGTCACTTTTGGGACTACCTTAAATCGAGCGATGCATAAGATGCTGGTACATGTAACTTTTTCACTCTGCTCGTATATGAGAATGCATCTGGTAATTCATTTGCTCTTCTTTGCAAATCAGACTTCAAAAATTACATTGACCACTTCAGGAGTCAAAAATTTACAATGATGATGCATTCCATGTAATTTCTTATATTACCAGTCTTTCTTTATTCACCTCTCCCCCTAAGACTGGGAATACTTTATCTGTTTATCATAAAATTGACAATCAACATACTGTGATGTATATATATATCTCTTGACAAAAAAACTCTTAACATTTAACGATTGACGAGGAGTTAAAACTAATGTCAATTACCCAATCTTCTCTATTATCTTGGATGCATTATGGGGGAGGGGGCACATAGGACACACAATCAAATATTGTCAAAAGGGACAAATTTGGTTCTCTTCGGGAGACATAAAGAGTAAGAAACTCAAAATTTTGAAGATTTGACATTTTATTTATAGGGAAGGATTAATAAAAATGAACATGTGTATATAAAATACATGTGAAGGAGAACTTCACGTTCTCATATGTTGGAACTACAGGTTCCTTATAATAAGACCATTGTGTTTCTTTTAAATGGTTGAGAAAATGTCAAGAATTCACTTTTAACCGAAGCGTTTGCAATTGACACATAAGATTCATAAGGAGCACTTTATTTGTAATATCTTAGTACAATCTTCTTTGTTAAACTTCAGGTTCACATCTTTTATAGAAGATTATATATAATCTAGTGAGAATATAGAATTTATCATCCATTCAACTCCTTAAAAAAACCTTCCCTTAGTGTCTACCTACCATTATGGTACCTTGATAATTTATCTTAATTTAAGCCCATTAAGCATCTGCTCCAAATAATTACCACATAAATGAAGATTCAAAAACCAGTATAAAATTCTTTGTTCTCATAATCAAAAGCATAGCCATTAATTCGATGCACTTTGTATATTTACTAGAGCTGCAGGGCTCTTATGTGACTAATGATGTTCAACATAACCTATAAATTATGTCCATAAGACAAATACCATAAACTTCGGGATACGAGTTAATTGTCAACAAATATGACAAATATAACAATGCATCATATAAAACATTTAAATTGCCATCACGAATAGGTGATGGACGCAATCAATTCTCCTTGAACAATTTCTAAATATGTATGAAATGAATCTCAAGTTTCATTAGTAATAATCTCATAATAATCTTCTAATGAGAACAAGACGATAGGATCTTCTGGTCCTAATAATAACAGAAACTTTTAGTCCTTCAAATGGTACTCACTTGAGTTCTTAATGATTTTTTTCTTCACATCACAAACTAAATCGTGATAATTTAATTGGTTATGTTTAAAATAAAAATTGGTTGAGTAAACTTCTGGTTTACGTGAAAACAAATCTCGATCAAGTGTCATGTAATATTCATTTTCACTGGTATCTTAAACATTAATAGAGACACCCTAAACAATAAGGATTTGTCTATACCCAACAGAATATTCGTCAATGCGGGATAATAACTATTCTCTCAAAATATTCAATATT